AAACTAAAGCAGATACCTTAAAAGCAACTGAGGCCAATAGGAGAAGGGGACCAGAAACTAGAGAAAAGGTTAGATCAAGAAGAATTAACCTAGAAGTAACACACATGCACAGGAAATTAAGGTGAGTCAACTCCCTGTATAGCTATCTTAGCTCAACTAGCAAAAACCCTTGTTCCTTCCTATTATTGCTTATACTCTCTCTTCAACAAAATTAGAGATAAGGGCAAAATAATTTCTGCCGTGTATCCAGGGGGTGGGGGGGGAAGGAGAGGGCGGAGTGGGTGGTAAGGGAGGGTGTGGGGGCAGGGGGGAGAAATGACCCAACCATTGTATGCACATATGAATAATAAAACAATAAAAATTAAAAAAAAATAAAGGATTCCTTTAGGCTTTCTAATGAAAAAAAAAGAGAGAGAAAAGAAAACCAGTTTTCAAACTTATTTCAATCAGGTCTTACTAGGAAGCAGGTATTCAGGGGTTAACACTCTGGCTCAGACCAGAGGAAGAAAAATAAATAAATAAATGAATAAAATTTTAAAAAGAAAGAATATGGGGGTGGGGGTGGTGGAGAGCATCCTACAGCAGACATCTTGAAATTTTGGTAGTTAAAAAAATGACCTGAGCCTGTTTCATTGTCATAAATAAAATTTAGAATTTAATTCTCATAATACATGGGTCTATTAACAAATTGGCTTTCTATAACTTTCTATAAGTTGTTTTTATAAAAAAAATAAATTTAAGGTTACTTTCTTTTTGTTTTTTTCATGCAAATATAAGGCTCTAAGTTAAAAAGGTTTTACGGGTTATTTTCAACACGTAACAAAAATATATATATAAGGTATTAAGGATATGGTTTTCAAAAAATAATAGGTTAAAAAATACTTTTTAATTAAAAAAAAAAGGATAAAGACAAGCCTCCCCACCCCAAGGGGATACAGAATAAGTTGTCATAATGGTATAGAGTAAGTTGTCATAAAAAGATGAAGCCTATAAATACTTATATAAGCGACTGAGTTGACTAAAATCCAGTCACCTTAAAGGTTTTGTAAGGTCAAAATTTAATGTACTGATGTTAAACGAAAACTTAATTCTACCTTAAAATATTATATTGTTCTTGATAACATTTACAAACAAAACAAAACAAAACAAAACTGTCCTAAAATGGTTTTTGTTTTGTTAAGGTAACTGTCAGGAATTTTTGGTGCTACAGGTTAATCTACAAATTTATCAAGACAACAAGAGTTTATTAAAACACAGAGAGGCAAGCGGCAACTGAGCACAAGGAGTGCTGGTGCACTGACATGAGGGTTGAGACAGACTTTTGCTTTGTAAAGCAAAGTTAAAAAAAAAAATGCACCCTCCAGATAGGATTAAAAAAAAAAAAAAACCTCAAAAAGGAGCATTACACTGGAGGTCAAACCTCCAGTTTTTATTGGCGTCAACAGAGTGAAGATGTTAGTCCTACTCCTTCCTCATGGCAGGTGGAGGGAATTTTTGGCCTGGGATGGCCAGATTGGGCCTTTTATTTTTAGGGGGGCTCCACTGACTATAGGTTGGTGGGATCCTGCTGTATGTCCTGAGCCTTTTGTTAATGCCAACAATCTGGGATATGATCCCTTATCAACATCTGAGCCATGATTCTTAGCCATTAGGTTTCCTAGCTCCACACTTATTCCCCATAAATATTTACCTGTGTTCTCTGGTGATTTTTGTCAGGGTTTTGACTTTTAAAGTAACTGAGTCATAACTAAATAAAAGTTCATTTAAGAGTTGGTTTATGTAAAATTTTCTAAATGACCTCGTGGTTAAACAACTGTTGTCTTGGATGAGTCGAATGCAGTCGGTAACCTCTATGTGTCTCTGAGTGGGATATTTGGGGTCACTGACATTGTTCATCCCCCCTCCCCAAATGAAGAGAAAATCTAAGTTTTACTTCAAGAGCAACAATTAAACTAGTATGTATATATAACCTCTGTAGAGCTGTAATACTGTTGCTGATTCCTGTATACCAAATATATTTATGTTTTTCAAGTATATCAAGCCTTCTAAAATACAAAATTTAGATAAACATGGTAACAAAAAGTTAATGGTACTGATATATTGTTCCATTAGTTGCTAAATTGTCCATCAGAATTCTAACCATGGCTCTTTTTTAAGTTTTTGTCATTATAATTTTGATCATTCTGGGGCATTTATAATCAAGTCCATAAAAAAAAGACTCTACTAAGTACTTATGTGTCAACCATGTTAACTTTTTAGACCTCTGCTTTTGTTGGACTTTGTTTTGTATTGTCCTTGTCTAAAAGCCCAGTGCCTAAAACTCCTTCTAAGCCTCTTTGTTGCTTAAATTTGGCTAAAAGGGTCTAGGACTCCCACCTGATCTGCTCATTATTTCCTCTCTGTCCCGCAACGTGGGACCAAAAACAAACAAACAAACAAAAATCCAGAAAAGAGCAAATCCTCATGATGAGAAAAAAAATCAAAAAAGATCTTCAGTCTACAGCCATACCACCCTGAATATACCCAATCTCATCTGGTCTCGAAAGCTAAGCAGGTTTGAGCCTGATTAGTACTTGGATGGGAAAAAGATTTCAGAGAAGACTGCTCAGAGACAAGCAGTTCGGACACAAGGGGGGAATGCCATCAAAGTTCCAAAGGAGTCACTGGTGCCAGATTTTTCTCAAAAATAACCAAGAGCGAGAGGATTGAGGAAATGGTTCTTACACATGTGTGACTATCTGACATTAAAGCCCTTCTAGACATAAACTTGTATTTTTTTAGACAGGGTCAACTTAAATAGAGACAAAATGACTATTTTTACTGGCTCTAGATATGTCTTTTGATACTTAAAGATGGTATTTTTAACTTTTTTAAAATAATGTACTTTTTTAGAGGACATATATACTAATAATATATTGTTGCCATGGTAATTCTACTCGGTTAAAAAAAACAACAACAGAAGATACTGTCCAGGTAAAAGAATAAAATGGCCAACCATTAACATCCCATTGGAGGGGCCCTTTGTTGTTATCTTGTCTATCTCCACTGCAGTTAAAGTAGCAAAAATTACTCCCTGGATCCACCATAGCCAAGTAAAGTCAGCCTCTCCCAAATGGGAGTGCATCCTTGACCCAGCCTTACCATGCAAGATTACCTTCCAGAACTCCTGTACCCTTCCTCAGCAGAACCTCACCTTCCAGGAGATAACAGGGGACCATGAACAATGGAACAACCGTCTTGCTGTAGCCACTCTGGCAGCTGACCAGTCTATGCACAGCAGAAGCTCGAACATGGGATGCACCACTGCTCTCCTCTACACTCTTGGACGCTTACCTTTTGGATTGACCCTTGCAAGGTTTCCCCCATGTACTGAATGTCATAAGAGAGCCATTGTTGGGACCTCCAAACAGCCATACTTTGTATCACGCACCCACAAACAGGTCAGGTGTTACATCGGCTCATATACTCCCCAGGTTTGCCAGGTTGCCGGTAAGCTATACTAAAAGTCCCACAGTAAAGAAAATAATATGGGCTACATTTGTCATGGAATGTGGGGTGATGGGTCTTGTCTTGGGAGCATGTTTGATGTTACCCTGCCTGGTTTCCTTGGTATTGCAGTCCATCAGGACCACTACGGAGAGAAAAACAGCCACCCATGTAATGATGCTATGAAAATACAAACCCCTAAATCAAGATGATGCTCTTTCACCCTAGGTGGTTCCGAATATCAAAGGGGGAATAATGTAGCAGGGAGGAGGGCCAA